TTTTCATGTGATATTATTTAAAAACTATAGTGAGTGCTGGAAATATTTTGTTGGATTTATTAAGACGACCATACGACCCAGGTTTTCACTTTGTGTTTCAGGTTTTTCTAAAAGCTATATTTATTACGAATTTAGATCTGTTGTCCCAGTTATTCCGAGTTTTCAAAAATATTAGTTTTAATTTGAATCTTTGCATTTGCTTAACGTTTTTAGTTGCTTGATATTAAAATTGAAACTACTAAAATGATGTATACAATAAACATGCTAATATCAAACAATCCGTTATGAATGAATAAATTACCGAGTACAAATTTCTAAAGGCGAGTTAAAACAGCCCCTCATATTAGTATAATCACAAACTTTTCATGAATTTGAATTTACGAAAATTAGCAAAAACTTTGAAATCGAACCTTTTGACTACCTGACAGAAGTGCTATTTTTTCATAATAATTAAATAGTGAAGTTCTTACTAGATTTAAATACAAATTGAATCATTTGAAAAAAAAACTTCTTATTGTATCCTTAAGTAGTGTATTTGTTATTTTAAAATTATATTTAAGTTATTTAGCCCATCGTCCCGGTTTTGACTTAAAAAATATGGTCATCTTAGCTTTATACAAATAACGATAATTACAATAATTAAATTTCTATATTCGGTGAATTATATAAAAAATATATTACAACATAATTTAAGTTGGTTACATCATCATCGTTATTGGTTTAACATAACGATAAGGTCGACAATACGCATAAGAAGAATATATTAGTCCAAATTTTCGTTACTGCAAATCGGTCATATTTTAATATTTTGCAATAAGAGCGAGAAATGTAAATAAAACATATATCATTTCCCAAATCTTATTTCATTCGAATGTTATAGATGTGTGTCCAAAAAGGTTTTTGATATCCTTAGGGCAACACTTGGCGCAGGCACGTGTGTCCGACAGATTGAAGAAGTGGCAAAGTGTCAGTGATGATTTACCGCTTCTATTGTAGCCAAGATATCAAATTTGAAAGGAATCTTTTTACAATAATAGAGTTTTTTTATTTATGTTGTGATACTATGCGGGAAAACGGATTTCTAAGGATATTAAGGAAGTTACAAAGCTGATGTTATTTATATATTTATTTCACAACTCTATTTTTGTAGTTGGTATATGTAATTTAAGACATTGTCAATTCTAATAATGATTGTTTTCTGATATGTTTTTTTGATAGATGAAGATTTAAGTAAACAGCAATTAAATATCAAACAATAAAGTAATTCAAATCTTATTTCGCTATACTTCTTAATGAGCTTCATTTTTCAATCAAATATATAATTGTACAATAGATATTCTATCATTCCTCAAAGATTAGGTAAATTTCTTAGGCTAGATCTATATGTGTTTTGAATTATTTTTGATTTAGATTTTCAAGTAAATTATTTTACTTAAAAATGTACTATTTCTACACTGTTACTATTTGAACTTGAAAACTAATTTTTCCAAAGAAAGCAAAAAATGGAAATTATGTTTTTGATAGAACAGATCATCCGATTCGAATGATTCAAAAAACATTCAATGTGACGTAGTGTAATTGATACGACGTGTAGTTTTGGAAAAGGCAGGCTTAGCCGTGTCGGAGATGTAGAGCTAAAAGCATATAAATAGTAATTTTTGGAAGTAGTTATAGTAGAAGTTAAAAGCTGATCATCTTTTGTTCGAAATTAAACAGAAATTAATAATTAATGAAAATTTCATTAAATGCCTGGTAATTGAAATAAAATTGAACAAAAATTGTCCCAGAAAGCTTGATAAAACCACGCTCAAAATAAACTTTTGAATATGATTTACTCGTCTCAACTGTGATCGATTTGATAAAACTGTGACAATGATGCTCAACATCTGATAGAATTACTATTATAGCTCTCTTCATGTTAATATAGTCGCAGAAAAGTTATTAAAACTAGCCAATTTTTAAATAAGGCGACTGTGTCATTGTGTCCATATACGCAGTTTTGTCAGTATTTCTCTATATATTTTTATTATACCTCTATATAAACTATTCAATAAATAAACACTTTTGCAATGAAAAATATATAATATATCATGTTTTTTGTATTCATTTATCTCCATGTAACGCAAAATTATTTATGTAATTTGTTCTAATTCTGAGTTTCTTAAAGCGCGGTTCCCATATGACACAATATTTAGCCAGATTTTTAACTTAAATCCAAGTTTCCATTCAATGTTACGCGGTACGCATTCGCCGCGTTATAAGAGGGTTGACTGTATTTGTAATTGTGAAACGTACATAAATGAAATATGATAAATGAAATTGCGTAATAAAGAGAATATGTAAAACATTCCAGTTGTTTATAGTACAATAAAATGTTGACTTATAATTGCTGAGCGGATCAGCCGGGCAGGTAATATGGGCAACAATAAAATGAACATTAACAACGTGAAGGCGTTAATGTCGCAATACTGGAAGTTATACGTTTGAAATTACCATGTGGCTCATATTTAGTATGTTTAATACATTTAGAACCCACAACCACGCTAACTGATAATTAATATTTCTAAACGGCAATACGTGTATCATTCCGTGTCTGCTATCTTCGCCATAATCAAATAAAATTGTTTATGTACTCAAATACTTAAGTGGATCATTAAGCCGATGTATATTAAACAATTTGAAGCATCGAGATGTAGGGGATACTTTCATTAGATATTTTATGGGTTTCTTGATGTATTAGTAATTTTCTATATTCTTATAATTAGTCAAATTTTAATTATTTATTTTTGTCTTAGTTATTTGAACAGCTCATGATCTACAGAATATTGTTAAACACTGAGAAGAGAAAATAAGAGTAAGACAGACTGGATACGATTAAGCTACTTTTTAAAATATTTTTGTTAATTTACCACTTAGCTGGAAAAAAGTAAATTAAATGATAATTTGAACATGTGTATGCGTAGAAATACCGAAATAGTGTCCTCAAATACGATGGCTTTACCATATAATCAAATCATACTAAAAAAGGGCAAGTGTTACAACCTCAACATAAACTTAGGTTTAAACATAATAGCTATAAACACCAAAATTTTTCAAAACGACTTTTGTTTGTCACTATATTGGAAACCCTTGCGTGTATAATTTGAGCTAAAATTTTCTTATTTTTTTAATATAATCAAACTAGAGATTTTATAAAAAAATGTTTATTATTTAACTGGTATATTATTTATTCTTACTACAATTAGTAAAAATATGACTAAAAATAGAAAAAATAACAGGTTTTGTACAATTATCTGTGAAAAATATATATCAAGGTTTTTTCAAATATTATAGAATTAATTGTTCAAATGAATTGTTCAAAGGTATTCTGCTTTCTTCTTTAATATAATTGAAATAAAGCATTTGATTAAAGACTCGGATATACACTACATTTAAATATAATATAATATAGCTTCAAGTTTTATAGGTTCACATAAAAAATATGCAAATATATAAGTCAATTCTATGATATATTATTACTTTAAATTTGCATTTCGTTCTGCTGCAAAAACGATCAAATATGAAAAATAAAATAATACATTTATTTTTATAATGGAATATAATAGAAAAACTTTGAATTACAGTCCAGAATAATAAATGTCTGTATATTCCGTTCGTTATAATACTTCAGCATATATCTGCTTTTGCAGATGAAATCGCATATACTTTTTATCACAAAATCGAGAGAAACAGGAAAATTATAAACACTACTGTATGCTATGAAAATGTAGAACCTCATAAATGTAATAAATAAAAGAATTTATTATTTGATTTTTTTACTTTTTACAGATTTTATGATGTAGGTAGTATGGGGTACCCGTGGGGTAAGTTATAGTAATCGTCAAAAAATCAAAAATAAAAATTTCAATATTCTTATATGCACAATTTTTTGTCCAGCTTTTTGATAGCACCGATCAACCGATTCGAATTATTCAAAAAGCTTTCGATTCTTATTGATAGAAACATGCTGATTACTTTTTGCGGATGGTTGATCGAACCCTTTCGAAGATACTCAGCAAAGAGTGCAAAAAATAGAAATTAAATTCATTCAGAGAACGAAGCATCCGATTTCAATGATTCAAAAAATATATAACTGGTATTGACGAAATGAAGAATTGGTTGAATTTTCGCTAAGGCAGGTTCAGCAGTTTTGGAGATCTAGAAAAAAAAGTTGAAATAGAATGTCATATCCGACGAAAATAAGATATTTTCAAAAATTTAGAAATCATTTCTAAAAAAAAACTCATAACTTTAATAAGAGACAATTTGTTCAAATGTTTTCTCTTTTTTCTTCTCTGAACTTTTCACAATTTTAAATTATGGTGCGGGAAGTTACAGGCACAATGCCATGCACCACTAGTTAACCATAGTGCAGTAAACGGAGACAATTGGGTATAACCTCTGAATTTTTTTACTGTGCTCCGATTTGCATTATTTTGGAATTAGGTTCATCTTACCCTCAAGTTCAAAAGTGAAAACAATTTGGATGTGTATGCATTCAGTTCACTCTTATAAATTAATAAAAAGGATAATCAAAAATTTAGTTTAATTTTATTGATCTGCATGAACGCCTGATATATATATATATATATATATATATATATATATATATATAACATATGTGGAGTTAAAAATTAACTATCGACTTTTTGGACACATGTCCATTAAATTAGATTAAATTACGTATGTTATTTATGCACTATGAATACGAGTATAGCACATAAAAAGTCAATGCGCATTGATGATTTTGCATATATATATTATATATATATATATATATATATATATATATATATATATATATATATGCAAATGCATATAAAAAGAGGGAGATCTCATGAAGGTAATCCAGAAAATCCAGCTTGCCAAATAACACTCACAATTTAAATACTGTGAATTTTGAATTAAATATTTGTTTATATTTTCTGCATGAAATCAGTCGATAAAATAGATTATCTTACCTATAGTAATTGAGCACTTGAGCGAAAACGCCAGGATGCCGGTCAAAAAAGTACTCGTTCAGTATAGGGTCATAATTGCCCAACGCCTCGGTCAGCCTGGAGAGGCGGGTCGCCGGTATTTTCTTCAGCGTTGCTTTGTAGGTCTCGTGGCGTATGCCGCCGACGTTCAGCACCACACGGTTTTCGGCATCCATATTTAGAAGATTCATTTTGACCAGATTTTTGCTGAAATTTGAAATTGAAGTTCATTATATGAAATATAATAACACATGTTACATTATGCTATGGATATAGATAAAGAAGCGCGCGCACACACACACACACACATATATATATATATATATATATATATATATATATATATATATATATATATATGTATACATAGAATGTAAATTTTGGTGTTGATAAATTGTCTTAACTGCAAAGGTTTTTACATTGGTGAAACAAGCCAAAATCTACACAAGATTTCGCAACACAGAAATAATTAAAAAATAAGAATTAGCATAAAACAGAATGCATAAATAATCTTCAGCATAACATTGATTTATTAAACCTGAGTACATTACATTTTAAAACCAATATATTTAAAGGAAGATTTATTGAAAGTTGTGTAATATCGTTAAACAATTATGGAATCAACGAACGACTTGACAGCTATTTGCTTTGAAATGAATACGAGATATCCCTCGACCAATTTTCAAACAATATTTTAACTGAATGAAGCGTGTCCCTTTTTATTACTTTCCAAAATCGTACCAGTTCGCACATTTTTTAAAAAATCTTTGTAAACACAATTCAGCGCTCAGTCTCACAACAACTATGTTTTTTATTATTATACAGTTATTTATTCAATAATTATGCATTTTAAATTATAAAATTTAGACAAGGTGTGCTTTATGAGCATGCTACAAATAAATTGGGTTACTCCAGTTTAAGTTGCCACTGGCATTAGGCTATATATTCAGTTGAAAGAGAACAAAGATGCTGTAAAACACGTTTTTTCATCATCCTTTATTTCATTTTATGTATAGTAAGTACTCTGAAGATTTTGGTGCACATATTTAAACATCAAAATTATTATAGAAAACATGACAAGAACCTTTTGCACTCCATAGTTATTTACATATGTATAATCAAATAGAGAAAAATACATAACATAGCAAAATGTTTTTTCCGTTATCCATTCAATTCTGAAATAAACAAACATATTTATTCTTAACTTTCTTTTTATTAAATTTGGAATTTAAATGTATTGATTCTTGCCAATTTAATAAAATAATTTATAATATATATATATATATATATATATATATATAATATATATCCATTAAAATAGAAAAACATAGTAATCAACAAAGCGCTACACAGAATTCAAATAGTTTTTTCTCGTTAGTACTGTTTTTTAATTCAGAGCAACATCGAGAAACTTTGTTCATAAATATGGACTGAGTTTGCAATGCTCAGTACAACTAGTTTATAAAATATATTTAAAATAACAAATTCTTGTTTAGTGTGTATTATAATATAAGTAGTAAGCTATCTACTTTCATCAATTATCGTTGGTGCAGCATAGCCTTAATATATCACATATGCATTTAGCAGCTAAAATTATTTCTGAAGTTCACATCTGACATTGCATTTAATGAAAATTTTTTGAATGTACGCGATTGATGTTGATATTTGTTTTGTTTTCACATTCGAGCATATATGTATGTCGACTTGCTCCTAACCAATACCATTTAGCGAGATGCAAAACATCACATTACATAAAGAGCAAATATTTCTACGCTTCAAAACTGATGCGAGCACAGAGGAAAAGTTTACTTTATATTTCAAAGTTTATGGAAATGCACATCACAAAATTAGTATACTGTTACTCATTTAATTACACATCTGTGAGTAGGTGATTACATTATATTTGTATATGTGCATAAACACTACGTACCATTAAAGGAATTGTAGGAAGCATATTCAAGAGGATGAAATAATTTAATGGGTTTATGAAACTACCAAAATTTTTAATACACCACACCATTATCTTAGGTAAACTTAAGACGTTTGATTGTAGTTTACGATTAAGACAAATATCTTTTATAATTAAAATTTTTTTTGAAATTCTAAAATATTTTTTTTGTTTTTCCTCAAAACAATCGTATCGTCAACATCATTTTTTGAATCATTCAAATCGGATGCTTCGTTCTCTCAAAAACTGTCATCAACTGTCAACTGTCGGCTGAACCTGTCTTTGTTAAAAACAAATTACCACTTCTCCCCATCATTACGAATTGAACGTTTTTGAAATCATTTGAGTCGGATGCCCGGTTTTCGCAAAAATCGAGTTTCCATTTTCTGCAATTTTTGCTTCATATCTCGGAAACGGCTGGACCGACCTTTCCCAAAAACTAATCAGCACTAATACGCATCAGTAGGAATCGAATGCTTTTACAATTATTCAAATCGGTTAAGCGGTGCTCTCAAAAACGTCGACACACACATCCATTTTATCTAAAACGTAAAAATAGCAAAAATTCTCAATTTTGATTTTTGTCCCATTATTCCCACGCTATGGGAAGTTAATAAAGAAATATACAAGAATATTGAATATGGTTTCTTAAATTTTTTATCAACAACTTCGAACAAGCTTCGAACAAACAATTCAATATGTAATTTAATTTTTTTTAATATTATCCATTGTCACAGTTTTGGAACTAGGTCTTGGGGACATTTGCATGGATGATTATGCAGTTTATGGAAATAAATTAATACGTCTTTATTTAAAAAAAAAAAAGTTTTTAGTCATATACAAAGTGTTGGTGCACAATAAATCTTGAAGTATTTCGCATGTAACTTTACCTAACATAATCTTTTATATCTCAGACGCTAGTAAAACTAAAAATAATCAAAAATTTCATCAAGTTCTTAATTACTTTATAATCATTAGGTTCCACGAGATCTTTTGTAACAAAATTTACCTCAGCTGTAAGTAAACTTTGACAATGATTCGAAAAGTTGAATTAACTGATTATAAAGTAATAAAACTTTTCATACCATAGATGTTCATTTTCATTAGTGCGGCATTTTTCTAGGCGCCATGCGAAAAATTAAGTTTTTTTTATCGAATATGATAGAATTATATAATATCAATTGGGGTCATATTTCATGATTAAGAGTTAATTGAAAAAAAGATAAGTTATTTTTTTGAAATTTAATAATTTAATGGATTGGATACAAAATTTCACCATGAAAAGTTGTTTTTTCAATTATTACAAATATTAATATGACGGCACACTTAGGATCGACAATGATATTTTTTAATTTTGCAATGCACCATTACATATAATTATAGAAATTTTATTTATAAAAAATATATTTCCTTATAAGATAATTTAATTTTTATTATTTCTTTATTTAGTAAATCTGGCATATGTTTACATTTATCTAATTTATATTGGGTATTTCAAGTTTATACATTAACATGCAAGACACAAACAATATTCATTATATAGGGTAGGGCGGGGTACAAAAATCCAATTTGTCTCTGAGAAATTATATTGTACAAACCAAACCAATTTTATTACTACAAATAACACATATCAAGCAAACAACTATCTGACTATATTCAGTAAAACTGCCATCCAATTCACCATTGTAGATATATGATTTTATGGTGTTTTTTCAAACATTGCCATTCCTGGTTGTGAATGGGTATACACACGTGAAACCGAAAATAGACATTTTCTGGAAAACGATTTCAAAAATGTATCAGACATTCGATAAAACTCAATAATGACTCGATTTAATTAGATTTACGTTTGATCGGTCGAGTCGTTAAATTTTAATTAACAGTTAAATGAAATGCGTTTGTTTGCAAATGCCGTCAGATTTTAAAATAAAAATGCTATTTGGTTATTTATGATTATGGAATTTTATAATTATTAATATTCACTAGCTTTATGTGTTAATCAATCAAGCTTTTTGTCATTAATTACCAATTGAAGTGATAATATGTTATTCCCGTTATATTAATTAAAATATCAATTTTATTTAAAAAAATCAAAGTGTGCGTAGGAGATATCATTACGAATTGTATTGATTCGTTTTGTGTAAAATTGGTCAAATCGTTTTTTGGCAGTGAACATTTCAGCTTTGTTCTGCTAATTTATATACTATTTTGTAAATTACGATATTCGTGGAAACTTTTTAGTGTTAAATAGTAAATGTTCGCCCAAATTCTGTATGAATAAATGTTGAAAATGATTATTTCAGCAATTTATAAAATTTAAAAAAATATTTAATATTCAATTCTTGTTTTTCGCGCTTAATAATTTTTATGTATTTTAAGTAAAATAACCTTCATATATTGGTAAAATCCCAATTTAGTTTAATCGTTTGTTAATGTATTGCATATTTGTGCAAAGTTTTATGAATATACAAATTACTCGTTATTTCAGTAGATAAAGCTTTAGCCCTACAACCTCAAATTTGTCGAGGTTGCTTTCTATACTATACTAGCGTTAAAACAATGCCTGATTAAATATAATTGTTGTTTAATATATATAAAGCAAAGAAAAATTTGATTTTCTCTTCTAACAATAGCCTGCTGATTGTTATCATTAAAATGTACTTAATAGTTTGGAAGCAATTTCCATATGATTATACCTCGTATCCTAAATGCAGTGAAGTTTATCCAACCTTTATTAAATCAATTAAGCCCCAGATGTAATATAATTATTTCGCTATTGAACTTGACATTTATGCTCGAGTTGGTTCAGCAACACATGTATGCAAGTGTTGTATTTTCAAATAAGTGAACTGAATTGCATTTTGACAGACTATTATAAAATAGAGCTTTCAGACTGTATCAGGAATCTTTAATTACCTAAAGGACGTACTTCTATCACTTGTCACCCATGCGGGTACTCTTTATACATAGAGAGAATTTTGTTTCAGATAATACAAGTAAATATTTTCCTAAAGTAAGTAGAAGTATTAAGTAAGTATTTGTTACCTGCATGGAACGTAAATAAATAATTTATAAGTATTAACTACAATTTATTGTAAGTAATACATAAAGTGTTACTTTAAAATATTTAAACTGGTGGTGCAGAAAATCGTGCTTTAAAGCAAATTGCTGAAACTTTCGTACTTAAAATTAGAATTTAATTTTTTTTTGAAAACTTAAAAAAAATAGATTTTGGTCAATTTTTGAAAAAAAAATTTTT